GGTGGTCCTCCACTTTGCATTCAGTTGTTTTTATCTATTGTCACCACAATAACCACCACCACTGCTTCTTCTATACCACAATAACCACCACCACTGCTTCTTCTATACCACAATAACCACCACCACTGCTTCTTCTATACCACAATAACCACCACCACTGCTTCTTCTATACCACAATAACCACCACCACTGCTTCTCTATACCACAATAACCACCACCACTGCTTCTTCTATACCACAATAACCACCACCACTGCTTCTTCTATACCACAATAACCACCACCACTGCTTCTTCTATTACCACGATAACCACCACCACTGCTTCTTCTATACCACAATAACCACCACCACTGCTTCTTCTATACCACGATAACCACCACCACTGCTTCTTCTATACCACGATAACCACCACCACTGCTTCTTCCTATACCACATAACCACCACCACTGCTTCTTCTATACCACGATAACCACCACCACTGCTTCTTCTATACCACAATAACCACCACCACTGCTAACCACCACCCCTGCTTCTTCTATACCACGATAACCACCACCACTGCTTCTTCTATACCACGATAACCACCACCACTGCTTCTTCTATACCACATAACCACCACCACTGCTTCTTCTATACCACATAACCACCACCACTGCTTCTCTATACCACGATAACCACCACCACTGCTTCTCTATACCACGATAACCACCACCACTGCTTCTTCTATACCACAATAACCACCACCACTGCTTTTCTATACCACGATAACCACCACCACTGCTTCTTTCCCATACCACGAATAACCACCACCACTGCTCTTCTATACCACGATAACCACCACCACTGCTTCTTCTATACCACATAACCACCACCACTGCTTCTTCTATACCACGATAACCACCACCACTTATTCTTATACCACGATAACCACCACCACTGTTCTTCTATACCACAATAACCACCACTACTGTTTCTTCTATACCACAATACACCACCACTCTCTATCGTATGAGATCACCATACTGGTTTACCACGTATCCACCACCAAGTTTTATACCGAAACCCAGATGCTTCTAAGCACGAAAACCTCGCTGTTAGCTTCTATACCTAGTTCCAGCGCAGCACTGGCGTCTCACCAACATAACTCACACCATATTGAAAAAACAAACCACTTGCACCAGTGCATCGTCTTCCATAACAAAGACCACCCACCACTGACTCTTCCGTGACCCATCGTTTTACCCCTAGTCACTGCATTCTTCCCATCTCTCATCTTCCCTCATCTCACTGCTTCTTCTTATACCCAATAACCACATACCTCAATCTTTAATTCCATTCTAATTGAATACCAAGTTTATAAATACAACATTTCTGCAGTTCTCAGCGAAGGACGAGGGGCGCACGAATCTTTTACCCAATCACCCCTCCAAAAAATACATACCCTGTTACTGTCTATACCAACTATAACGACAACGGTTTATGTATGACAAATAACACTGGCAGCTTGCGTGCGTTCAGCAGTAACAGCCCTGGTTTCAACCCGATAACCACCAACCCTGCTTCAATCGCTTAGCACAATACCACCACCCTCTTCTACTAGTACCACAATAACCACCACCACTGCTTCTTCTATACACGATAACACCACCACTGCTTCTTCTATACCACGATAACCACCACCACTGCTTCTTCTATACCACGATAACCACCACCACTGCTTCTTCTATACCACGATAACCACCACCACTGCTTCTTCTATACCACGATAACCACCACCACTGCTTCTTCTATACCACAATAACCACCACCACTGCTTCTTCTATACCACGATAACCACCACCACTGCTTCTTCTATACCACGATAACCACCACCACTGCTTCTTCTATACCACGATAACCACCACCACTGCTTCTCCTATACCACGATAACCACCACAACTTATCTTCCTATACCACGATAACCACCACCACTGCTTCTCCTATACCACGATAACCACCACAACTTATATTCCTATACCACGATAACCACCACCACTGATCTTCCTATACCACAATAACCACCACTACTGTTTCTTCTATACCACAATCACCACCACCACTATCGGTGATCTTCCTGTACCAAGGTATCCTTACCACCCAAGTAACAGCAACTCCAGGTGTGCTAAGCAGGAAACCTTCGCAGATGTAGCCAGTGGAACCATAGTTCAGCAGCAGACTGGGCGTCTCCCACCAATGTAACTCATACAATATTGAATAAAACAACTATCTTGACGTAGTGGCAGAGTCGGTCTTCCCATAACAAAGACCACTCCATCTCGGCTGACCTGCTTACCGGGACCCCTCATTTTACCCCCTGAGTCACTGCCATTTCTTCTCTCTCTCTCTCTCTCTCTCTCTCTCCTCTCTCTTCTACCTCTGTTCATCAAAAACCTCCATATTACCCCAACAAGCGTTATTCCATTCCGGTGAATTGAATACGAAGTTTCTTAATTGTACCATATTCTGACAGTCTAGCGACCGGGTACGGAGGGTGGGCGCCGGGGAGGCAGGAATATCATTTCCACATTCCCGCTCCCTAAAAATAGATTTACATATCTCTGTTACTGTAAATACCAAATATCTAAGATAAGTCGGTTATGTACTGACAATAATAATGTGCAGCTTGCGTGCGGTCAGCAGTAACAGCCTGGTTGATCAGGCCCTGATCCACCATGAGGCCTGGTCTCAGATCGGGCTGCGGGGGCGTTGACCCCGGAAACTCTCTCCAGGTAAACTCCAGGTACAAAGGCACAATACCGTGACTGGAACAATACACAAATAACTCGGACATAGGAGACAGAAACTTAAGACGACGTCTCGGTCCGAATAGGACCATTAACCACTTCAGTGTGTGACCGAAACGTTGTCATAAATTTCTTCTATGACTCACGAAATCGTAATGACACGATTGCAAACAAACCATACACCGGCCGGGATTGAACCCGCACAGGCACAGTGGTGCCTGTGCTAACCTTCCTATGGTGTAGAAATATACCTAGTTGGATGAATCTTATTGTGGCTAGCTGGTCTAGTGGCTAACGCGACGGTCTGGAGTTTTGAGACTCTCTGACCGCGGGTTCAATCCCAGCCGGGGTATGGTTTGATTTCTTCTATGTGCGGGTTATTGTGTAGTGCAATACAGCTTTTATAGACACGTTTCGCTCAGGGTAGAGCTTTATTAAGCTTTACATCGTGCGAAATGTCGTTCTGCTTGTTCCTGCCCAAGCTGCGTCCTGCCATAAACGCCAGACGTATATATATGTCAGCTGGGTGAGGACAATGTCAAGAGCGCCATCACGGCTGATTAACGAGCGGCTCCGAACCCGGCGAACCCAGGACGTGGTACCCGTGTCTAAACCAACACAGGGGAATTAGAGGGGGGGGGGGAGGAGAAATGGTCAGATTACTTCGTCTGCAGTGATGGTCGCGGGGCACTGGAAGGGTGTGACATAAACCGACAAACTGGGATAATCGTTTTTGGTGTGGGAGCGGGGGATAATGGAGCCATTGAAGGGCAACAGCGTTCACGGCCCACCTGCGCCATTGTGAACCCGGGGACCTCTTGACGCGAGCCACCGTGAACCCTCATCTCTCCACACTTGCTCCATTCCTCACTGATTCCCTTAACCCAAATTCATAATAGAATATGTATTCTCATTTATATACATTACATTTATTGATCACTTACTAGCTTATATAAAAAAATAATTAAAAAAAAAAAAGCCTAAATTTGTTGGTTGGGATTAAGGGCCACCACGGTACGAGCCGTAATTTGTTCTTGTTGCTTTTTAAGGGCTACGAAGGCTTATGCCTTACGAGCCCTAAAATTTTGCTGCTGATGTTGCCGGTTTTTGATCTGTTTACGTGCTTACCTATCGTAGGCGTGTTCCTGAGACAAGAAAGGTGCAACCAGGTTTGTCATAATGCCCGTTTTCCTACATTACTGATATGGAGACAGACTTGACCTCCCATCTGGTATTAATGAGGAGGAAGGTGATTTATCCTCGGTTTTGTGGCCTCGTCAATGGGGGAGTTTGAATGACCCCACGAAAGCTGGGGTCCAAGGCCACGGTGTTCTACAAGGTCACGGTGTTTTACAAGCCACGGTACTCTACAAGGTCACGGTGCCCTTGCTAAACCAGGCATGTACTTAAGTTGTGTGTATTTATAACATTACACAGAGCAAGGGAGTGAATGGCTGAACATCAGACTTAAATCAGCATCACCAGCAGCACCTCACCCACACTGACGTGACCACCGCCGCTACTGCTTCATCGATCCACTGCTTCCACCTCACTGGTTACACTCCACGAGTCTCATTTCTCACGTTTCTGTATTATATTTGATGAAGATCCCTGTGATGGGGCGAAACGTCCGTCAAATAAAGATACCCAGGTGTTCAAGGCTGAGAATATCCTGTTTGATGTTGGACAGAGACCGGGTCGAGATGTTAGGCAAGTGTCTGATTCATCCACTTGTCGGTATTAATACACAAATAACCCGCACATAGGAAAATAAAGCTTATGACGACGTTTCATCCGATGGACCATTTACAAGTCACTTGTAAATGGTCCAAGTCGGACCGAAACATCGTCATAAGTTTCTCTCTCCTATGAGCGGGTTATTTGTATATTGTTCCAGTCACGGTATTGTGCCATTTTGCTCTGTATACATTTAATTATGTATATCCAATATGTAGTAGTGTTTTGGCACTGTCCCTGTAGTCTTTCCTTTAATGGCACTCGTGTGACAGCAATTTACAGTCGTATACTCGTGTGTTTCTTCAACTTAACTAGAACTTAATAAAGGAATATTACCGTAATTTGGAGGTCGATGCTGGCAGACCCTTACACCTCACTATTTCCATTAATTTATTTAGTTAATCTATTGTAAACCGTAAATACCCGAGGTATACTAACACTGCCGTTGTATTCAAAAAGAGCCCATGAAAAAGATACTCACTGTTTGTTGATGTACTGGAGGAGGGATCCCTTCTTGTACTGGAGGTTGTACTCTGGCACGTGGCACTTCTCCCCGAGTCCTAGGTCAACCTTGGTCATGACACTGGAGCCGTAGAGCCAAGCTTCCCTGATGATCACCTCCTCGCCAGGAGCTTCACACGAGAAGCTCAGCTCTCCCTCAGAGCATTCCTCAGCCACCTCTCCACCTGTCACACACACAAGTACAGAGTTCACAGTACAAGCTCTTCAGTCATGGCTACACTCTCTCAATCGCATTTACAAAGATCCCACTCTATGGAAGACTCTATCAGAGAGTTTAGAGTAAAATACACAAATAAATTATTATATTTAGAGTAAACTCCCTCATAAAACTCCTCCACTGAGGCCTGGTCATGGACCGGGCCGCGGGGGCGTTGATCCCCGGAATAACCTCCAGGTAACACATTGTGAACTTGTAAAAATGTAAAACAATGAACACTTCAAAATTACCACCACATAACCTGTGTCTAGTGTTAAGTTAGTGTGTTTCTTTGTACGTGACAGTATTGTGTTTCTTTGTACGTGACAGTATTGTGTTTCTTTGTACGTGACAGTATTGTGTTTCTTTGTACGTGACAGTATTGTGTTTCTTTGTACTTGACAGTATTGTGTTTCTTTGTACGTGACAGTATTGTGTTTCTTTGTACGTGACAGTATTGTGTTTCTTTGTACGTGAGAGTATTGTGTTTCTTTGTACGTGACAGTATTGTGTTTCTTTGTACGTGACAGTATTGTGTTTCTTTGTACGTGACAGTATTGTGTTTCTTTGTACGTGACAGTATTGTGTTTCTTTGTACTTGACAGTATTATGTTTCTTTGTACGTGACAGTATTGTGTTTCTTTGTACGTGACAGTATTGTGTTTCTTTGTACGTGACAGTATTGTGTTTCTTTGTACGTGACAGTATTGTGTTTCTTTGTACGTGACAGTATTGTGTTTATTTGTACGTGACAGTATTGTGTGTCTTTGTACGTGACAGTATTGTGTGTCTTTGTACGTGACAGTATTGTGTTTCTTTGTACTTGACAGTATTGTGTTTCTTTGTACGTGACAGTATTGTGTTTCTTTGTACGTGACAGTATTGTGTGTCTTTGTACGTGACAGTATTGTGTTTCTTTGAAGGTGACAGTATTGTGTTTATTTGTACGTGACAGTATTGTGTTTCTTTGTACGTGACAGTATTGTGTTTCTTTGTACGTGACAGTATTGTGTTTCTTTGTACGTGACAGTATTGTGTTTCTTTGTACTTGACAGTATTGTGTTTCTTTGTACGTGACAGTATTGTGTTTCTTTGTACGTGACAGTATTGTGTTTCTTTGTACTTGACAGTATTGTGTTTCTTTGTACGTGACAGTATTGTGTTTCTTTGTACGTGACAGTATTGTGTGTCTTTGTACGTGACAGTATTGTGTGTCTTTGTACGTGACAGTATTGTGTTTCTTTGTACTTGACAGTATTGTGTTTCTTTGTACGTGACAGTATTGTGTTTCTTTGTACGTGACAGTATTGTGTGTCTTTGTACGTGACAGTATTGTGTTTCTTTGAAGGTGACAGTATTGTGTTTTTTGTACGTGACAGTATTGTGTTTCTTTGTACGTGACAGTATTGTGTTTCTTTGTACGTGACAGTATTGTGTTTCTTTGTACGTGACAGTATTGTGTTTCTTTGTACTTGACAGTATTGTGTTTCTTTGTACGTGACAGTATTGTGTTTCTTTGTACGTTGACAGTATTGTGTTTCTTTGTACTGACAGTATTGTGTTTCTTTGTACGTGACAGTATTGTGTTTCTTTGTACGTGACAGTATTGTGTTTCTTTGTACTTGACAGTATTGTGTTTCTTTGTACGTGACAGTATTGTGTTTCTTTGTACTTGACAGTATTGTGTTTCTTTGTACTTGACAGTATTGTTTCTTTGTACGTGACAGTATTGTGTTTCTTTGTACTTGACAGTATTGTGTTTCTTTGTACTTGACAGTATTGTGTTTCTTTGTACTTGACAGTATTGTGTTTCTTTGTACGTGACAGTATTGTGTTTCTTTGTACGTGACAGTATTGTGTTTCTTTGTACGTGACAGTACTGTGTTTCTTTGTACGTGACAGTATTGTGTTTCTTTGTACGTGACAGTATTGTGTTTCTTTGTACTGACAGTATTGTGTTTTTTGTACGTGACAGTATTGTGTTTCTTTGTACGTGACAGTATTGTGTTTCTTTGTACGTGACAGTATTGTGTTTCTTTGTACGTGACAGTATTGTGTTTTTTGTACATGACAGTATTGTGTTTCTTTGTACGTGACAGTATTGTGTTTTTTGTACGTGACAGTATTGTGTGTCTTTGTACGTGACAGTATGTGTGTCTTTGTACGTGACAGTATTGTGTGTCTTTGTACGTGACAGTATTGTGTTTCTTTGTACGTGACAGTATTGTGTTTCTTTGTACGTGACAGTATTGTGTTTCTTTGTACGTGACAGTATTGTGTGTCTTTGTACGTGACAGTATTGTGTGTCTTTGTACGTGACAGTATTGTGTTTATTTGTACGTGACAGTATTGTGTTTCTTTGTACGTGACAGTATTGTGTTTATTTGTACGTGACAGTATTGTGTTTATTTGTACGTGACAGTATTGTGTTTATTTGTACGTGACAGTATTGTGTTTCTTTGTACGTGACAGTATTGTGTTTATTTGTACGTGACAGTATTGTGTTTCTTTGTACGTGACAGTATTGTGTTTATTTGTACGTGACAGTATTGTGTGTCTTTGTACGTGACAGTATTGTGTGTCTTTGTACGTGACAGTATTGTGTTTCTTTGTACGTGACAGTATTGTGTTTCTTTGTACGTGACAGTATTGTGTTTCTTTGTACGTGACAGTATTGTGTGTCTTTGTACGTGACAGTATTGTGTGTCTTTGTACGTGACAGTATTGTGTTTCTTTGTACGTGACAGTATTGTGTTCTTTGTAGTGACAGTATTGTTTCTTTGTACGTGACAGTATTGTGTGTCTTTGTACGTGACAGTATTGTGTTTCTTTGTACGTGACAGTATTGTGTTTCTTTGTACGTGACAGTATTGTGTTTCTTTGTACGTGACAGTATTGTGTTTCTTTGTACGTGACAGTATTGTGTCTTTGTACGTGACAGTATTGTGTTTCTTTGTACGTGACAGTATTGTGTTGTCTTTGTACGTGACAGTATTGTGTTGTCTTTGTACGTGACAGTATTGTGTTTTTTGTACGTGACAGTATTGTGTTTCTTTGTACGTGACAGTATTGTGTTTCTTTGTACGTGACAGTATTGTGTGTCTTTGTACGTGACAGTGTTGTGTGTCTTTGTACGTGACAGTTTGTGTTTATTTGTACGTGACAGTATTGTGTTTCTTTGTACGTGACAGTATTGTGTTTATTTGTACGTGACAGTATTGTGTTTATTTGTACGTGACAGTATTGTGTTATTTGTACGTGACAGTATTGTGTTTCTTGTACGTGACAGTATTGTGTTTTATGAGTAACGATGACAGTATTGTGTTTATTTGTACGTGACAGTATTGTGTTTATTTGTACGTGACAGTATTGTGTTTATTTGTACGTGACAGTATTGTGTTTATTTGTACGTGACAGTATTGTGTTTCTTTGTACTTGACAGTATTATGTCAAATATTTAAAAATATTTAAAATATATTAAGAAGTTATATTATTGTATATTTCGATGATTCACACATTGTCAACTTTGCAAATAAATAAAAATTTGAAGTAGAATTAATGTTATTGATAAATTAGATTCAAAATTGAATAGAGGTGCTACGAAGATCTTGCCACGTGATATTCAATTTTGGATGAAGTAACAGCAGTAACAGCCTGGTTGATCAGGCCTTGATCCCCCACGAGGCCTGGTCACAGACCGGGCCGCGGGGGCGCTGACCCCCGGAACCCTATCCAGGTATGTAATGAGCTGTATGAGAGAGCTTACTGTATATGAAGCGTCAAATCCGTATGGGTTATTCACCGTAAAGATTGAAGGAGGTTAGAGCTTGCATTCTGTGATCACATCACTCTTGCAAGCAGTGAGTGTGCACATTTACTTGCAATATCTGCAACCAAGAGACAGAAATATTACTGGAACAGGTGAACATTGCAAGAGGAATCTGGATTCCTAGCTAGCCCAAGTACTTAGTAAGTAAGTTTATTCAGGTATACACAAACACAGTTACATAGAATTATCATACATAGCAGCATATGTGTAGAGAACCTGGGATAACCCAAAAAAGTCAGACAGAGTGACTTATTTCCATTGGGGTCCTTGATCAACCAGGCTGTGATGAATGCGTGGGCATTAATACATATTCAACGACGAAAGTGGAGAATAACAAGGAAAACTGTTATAATGCTGTGGTTGAAACTCGCATTAGAGAGGAACTTTAAGACGAAGTTTTGGTCCTTCCTGGAATATTGTCAAGTCACAACTGGGGTGAGAAGAGAAGAGAAGGTCGGAAGACAATATGGTAAGGAGCAGAGGATGGGGAACAAATGTGTTGTAGTTGTGGTAGTTGTAGTAGTGGTAGTTGTAGTAGTGGTAGTTGTAGTAGTGGTAGTTGTGGTAGTTGTAGTAGTGGTAGTTGTAGTAGTGATAGTTGTAGTAGTGGTAGTTGTAGTAGTGGTAGTTGTAGTAGTTGTAGTTGTGGTAGTTGTAGTAGTGGTAGTTGTAGTAGTGATAGTTGTAGTACTGGTAGTTGTAGTTGTGGTAGTTGTAGTAGTTGTAGTTGTGGTAGTTGTAGTAGTTGTAGTAGTGGTAGTTGTAGTTGTGGTAGTTGTAGTTGTGGTAGTAGAAGTTGTGGTAGTAGAAGTTGTGGTAGTAGAAGTTGTGGTAGTAGAAGTTGTGGTAGTAGTTGTGGTAGTAGTTGTGGTAGTAGTTGTGGTAGCAACCATACAGGTTTCTGATATATTTCACCTTCTTAATGTAAGGTAACATTCACTTAAGTGTTTACAGGTGGGAAGCTCAGCTTTATCATGTGTTTAGCAGTAGAATGACCTTGTGCGATAAACCATTGTGGGTAGTGCAGAACCCTGATGTAGACAACAGTGCCAGATGATGCAGACAATAATATTAGCTGTGAAGACAAAAGTGCCAGTTAGTGAAGACAAGTGTCAAGTGGTACATACAACAGTGCCAGCTGGTACACACGTGCCAGCTGTAGCTGTAGACAGGTGCCAGCTGGTGCAGACAACAGCTGGTGTAAACAACAGCCTGAGGCTTGATGACGCCAGTGCCACTGTATTGATCTGTATTCTACATCCCTCCCTCCCTGCTACCCTCCCTTCCTGCTACCCTCCCTCCCTCCCTCACTCCTATATCTTATACTTCCCTCACTCATTCGTTCATTACTTTCCATATTCCCATTTTTCTCCTTTTCTATCTTCTCCATTTTCCTAGCTACCAAACTCACAATTTGTTCTATCTGTGGTATTGTACCTACACTCTGTACTCTCCTTCATATTACTACTCCTGTACCCAACACTTCATATTTTCATCCTCATACCATGTGTACACATTCACTTCATCATCACGGTAAACACTCTGGTCCTCCTGATCTCCTTTATCTCCTGTGAAGGCACCGTAAGACCTGTGTGTAGACAACATCGATACCAACAATCCTAAGTCCTGGTTTGAAAATCTTACCTGTGATGATGTAAGCAAGACTACTGGTACCTGTGTTGTAACAACACTACGACTGTTGTACACCACTGCAGAACCTAGTGTGTAAAAACATACAGGTACCTGTGTGTAAACACAACCTGGTACCTGTGTGTAACAATCACTACAGTACCTGTGTGTAACACAACACTACAGTACCTGTGTGTAACAAATCACTACAGTACCTGTGTGTAACACAACACTGCAGTACCTGTGTGTAAACAACTCTGGTACCTGCTAGAATGTTATATTCTGTAACACAACACTACAGTACCTGTGTGTAACAAATCACTACAGTACCTGTGTGTAACACAACACTACAGTACCTGTGTGTAAACACAACACTGCGATACCTGTGGTAACAACACTCATACCTGTTGTAACACAACACTGCAGTACCTGTGTGTAACAAATCATACAGTACCTGTGTGTAACACAACACTGCAGAACCTGTGTGTAACAAATCACTACAGTACCTGTGTGTAACACAACACTACAGTACCTGTGTGTAACAAATCACTACAGTACCTGTGTGTAACACAACACTACAGTACCTGTGTGTAACACAACACTAAGTACCTGTGTGTAACAAACATAATACCTGTGTGTAACAACACTATACCTGTGTGTAACACAACACTGCAGAACCTGTGTGTAAACAAACACTACAGTACCTGTGTAATCACAGCTTATCATTCTGTATACACACACTACAGTACCTGTGTGTAACAAATCACTACAGTACCTGTGTGTAACACAACACTACAGTACCTGTGTGTAACACAACACTGCAGAACCTGTGTGTAACACAACACTACAATACCTGTGTAACACAACACTACAGTACCTGTGTGTAACACAACACTACAGTACCTGTAACACAACACTACAGTACCTGTGTGTAACACAACACTACAGTACCTGTGTGTAACACAACACTACAGCACCTGTGTGTAACACAAACACTACAGTACCTGTGTGTAACACAACACTACAGTACCTGTGTGTAACACAACACTACAGTACCTGTGTGTAACACAACACTACAGTACCTGTGTGTAACAAAACACTACAGTACCTGTGTGTAACACAACACTACAGTACCTGTGTGTAACACAACACTATAGTACCTGTGTGTAACACAACACTACAGTACCTGTGTGTAACACAACACTACAGTACCTGTGTGTAAACAAACACTACAGTACCTGTGTGTAACACAACACTACAGTACCTGTGTTAACAACACTACAGTACCTGTGTGTAACACAACACTATGGTACCTGTCGTGCAACACAACAGTCAGTACCTGTGTTAACAACACTAGTACCTGTAACACAACACTACAGTACCTGGTAACACAACACTACAGTACCGTGTGTGTAACCACAACACTACAGTACCTGTGTGTAACACACTATCAGTACCTGTGTGTAACACAACACTACAGTACCTGTGTGTAACACAACACTACAGTACCTGTGTGTAACACAACTACAGTACCTGTGTGTAACACAACACTACAGTACCTGTGTGTAACACAACACTACAGTACCTGTGTGTAACACAACACTACTATAGTGTAACCAACTACAGTACCTGTAACACAACACTACAGTACCTGTGTTAACACAACACTACAGTACCTGTGTGTAACACAACACTACAGTACCTGTGTGTAACACAACACTACAGTACCTGTGTGTAACACAACACTACAGTACCTGTGTGTAACACAACACTAAGTACCTGTGTGTAACACAACACTACAGTACCTGTGTGTAACACAACACTACAGTACCTGTGTGTAACACAACACTACAGTACCTGTGTGTAACACAACACTACAGTACCTGTGTGTAACACAACACTACAGTACCTGTGTGTAACACAACACTATAGAACCTGTGTGCAACACAACAGTACAGTACCTGTGTTACACAACACTACAGTACCTGTAACACAACACTACAGTACCTGTGTGTAACACAACACTACAGTACCTGTGTGTAACACAACACTACAGTACCTGTGTGTAACACAACACTACAGTACCTGTGGTAACACAACACTACAGTACCTGTGTGCAACACAACAGTACAGTACCTGTGTTACACAACACTACAGTACCTGTAACACAACACTACAGTACCTGTGTAACACAACACTACAGTACCTGTGTGTAACACAATCACTACAGTACCTGTGTGTAACACAACACTACAATACCTGTGTAACACAACACTACAGTACCTGTAACACAACACTACAGTACCTGTAACACAACACTACAGTACCTGTGTTACACAACACTACAGTACCTGTAACACAACACTACAGTACCTGTGTGTAACACAACACTACAGTACCTGTGTGTAACACATACAGACTGTTACAAAACTACAGTACCTGTGTGTAACACAACACTACAGTACCTGTGTGTAAACACACTACAGTACCTAGCTGTACACAACCTACAGTACCTGTGTTACACAACACTACAGTACCTGTGTGTAACACAACACTACAGTACCTGTGTGTAACACAACACTACAGTACCTGTGTGTAACACAACACTACTAGTAACCTGTGTGTAACACAACACTACAGTACCTGTGTGTAACACAACACTACAGTACCTGTGTGTAACACAACACTACAGTACCTGTGTGTAACACAACACTACAGTACCTGTGTGTAACACAACACTACAGTACCTGTGTGTAACACAACACTACAGTACCTGTGTGTAACACAACACTACAGTACCTGTGTGTAACACAACACTACAGTACCTGTGTTACACAACACTACAGTACCTGTGTGTAACACAACACTACAGTACCTGTGTGTTACACAACACACAGTACCTGTGTGTTAACACAACACTACAGTACCTGTGTGTTACACAACACTACAGTACCTGTGTGTAACACAACACTACAGTACCTGTGTGTAACACAACACTACCTGTGTGTAACACAACACTACAGTACCTGTGTGTAACACAACACTACAGTACCTGTGTGTAACACAACACTACAGTACCTGTGTGTAACACAACACTACAGTACCTGTGTGTAACACAACACTACAGTACCTGTGTGTAACACAACACTACAGTACCTGTGTGTTACACAACACTACAGTACCTGTGTGTAACACAACACTACAGTACCTGTAACACAACACTACAGTACCTGTGTAACACAACACTACAGAACCTGTGTGTAACACAACACTACAGAACCTGTGTGTAACACAACACTACAGTACCTGTGTGTAACACAACACTACAGTACCTGTGTGTAACAACACTACAGTACTGTGTGTAACACAACACTACAGTACCTGTGTGTTACACAACACTACAGTACCTGTGTGTAACACAACACTACAGTACCTGTGTGTAACACAACACTATAGTACCTGTGTGTAACACAACACTACAGAACCTGTGTGTTACACAATACTACAGTACCTGTGTGTAACACAACACTGCAGTACCTGTGTGTAACACAACACTACAGTACCTGTGTGTAACACAACACTGCAGTACCTGTGTGTAACACAACACTACAGTACCTGTGTGTAACACAACACTACAGAACCTGTGTGTCACACAACACTACGAGTCCTTCAGGTACACACAATACTACAGGTATTTCCTTCCTTCTCTCCCTCCTTCCCTCGTTCTCTCCCTCCTTCCCTCGTTCTCTCCCTCCTTCCCTCGTTCTCTCCCTCCCTCCTTCCTTCAATAACACACCTACAATACGTGTTCATCTATGACACAATTGCTGCTCCAGGAGACACTTAGTCTCACCACAGTATCTTCTCCTCTTCCTTCTCCTTTCTTTCCTCGTTCTACTTCTCCTCATATTCCTCTTCCTCTTGCTTCTCCTCCTCTTCTTCTTTCACCTCCTCCTCGCGCGTCACTTATGAGTGACGGGTCGGGGGGGGGGGGAGCAAGGTGGTTTAAAGTTACGTTACAAAGTGTGTGTTACTGTAACTGTGTTCTTCACTCCTTCCTTCACTAACTTGACTTCCTTCACTAACTTTGGTTCCTTCACTAACTTTGGTTCCTTCACTAACTTTGGTTCCTTCACTAACTTTGGTTCCTTCACTAACTTTGGTTCCTTCACTAACTTTGGTTCCTTCACTAACTTTACTTCCTTCATTAACTTTGGTTCCTTCACTAACTTATTCCTTCATTCTTTGGTCCTTCATATTTGGTTCCTTCACTAACTTTGGTTCCTTCAATAACTTTGGTTCCTTCACTAACTTTGGTTCCTTCTCTAACTTGACTTCCTTCACTAACTTTGGTTTCTTCACTAACTTTGGTTCCTTCACTAAGTTTGGTTCCTTCACTAACTTTACTTCCTTCACTAACTTTGGTTCCTTCACTAACTTTGGTTTCTTCACTAACTTTGGTTCCTTCACTAAGTTTGGTTCCTTCACTAACTTTACTTCCTTCACTAACTTTGGTTCCTTCACTAACTTTGGTTCCTTCACTAACTTTGGTTCCTTCACTAACTTTGGTTCCTTCACTAACTTTGGTTCCTTCTCTAACTTGACTTCCTTCACTAACTTTGGTTTCTTCACTAACTTTGGTTCCTTCGCTAACTTTGGTTCCTTCACTAACTTTGGTTCCTTCACTAACTTTGGTTCCTTCGCTAACTTTGGTTCCTTCACTAACTTTGGTTCCTTCACTAACTTTGGTTCCTTCACTAACTTTGGTTCCTTCACTAACTTTGGTTCCTTCACTAACTTTACTTCCTTTATTAACTTTGGTTCCTTCACTAAGTTTGGTTCCTTCACTAACTTTACTTCCTTCACTAACTTTGGTTCCTTCACTAAGTTTGGTTCCTTCACTAACTTTGGTTCCTTCTCTAACCTGACTTCCTTTATTAACTTTGGTTCCTTCACTAACTTTGGTTCCTTCACTAACTTTGGTTCCTTCACTAACTTTACTTCCTTCACTAACTTTGGTTCCTTCACTAACTTTGGTTCCTTCACTAACTTTGGTTCCTTCTCTAACCTGACTTCCTTCACTAACTTTGGTTCCTTCACTAACTTTGGTTCCTTCACTAACTTTGGTTCCTTCACTAACTTTGGTTCCTTCACTAACTTTACTTCCTTCACTAACTTTGGTTCCTTCACTAACTTTGGTTCCTTCACTAACTTTGGTTCCTTCACTAACTTTGGTTCCTTCACTAACTTTGGTTCCTTCACTAACTTTACTTCCTTCACTAACTTTGGTTCCTTCACTAACTTTGGTTCCTTCACTAACTTTGGTTCCTTCACTAACTTTGGTTCCTTCACTAACTTTGGTTCCTTCACTAACTTTACTTCCTTCACTAACTTTGGTTCCTTCACTAACTTTGGTTCCTTCACTAACTTTGGTTCCTTCACTAACTTTACTTCCTTCACTAACTTTGGTTCCTTCACTAACTTTGGTTCCTTCACTAACTTTACTTCCTTCACTAACTTTGGTTCCTTCACTAACTTTGGTTCCTTCACTAACTTTGGTTCCTTCACTAACTTTGGTTCCTTCACTAACTTTACTTCCTTCACTAACTTTGGTTCCTTCACTAAATTTGACTTCCTTCACTAACTTTGGTTCCTTCACTAACTTTGGTTCCTTCACTAACTTTGGTTCCTTCACTAACTTTGGTTCCTTCACTAACTTGACTTCCTTCACTAACTTTGGTTCCTTCACTAACTTTAGTTCCTTCACTAACTTTTGTTCCTTCACTAACTTTGGTTCCTTCATTAACATGGCTTCCTTCACTAACTTGACTTCCTTCACTAACTTGACTTCCTTCACTAACTTGACTTCCTTCACTAACTTTGGTTCCTTCACGAACTTGACCTCCTTCAATAACTTACTTCCTTCACTAACTTGACTTCCTTCACTAACTTGACTTCCTTCACTAACTTGACTTTTCAAACTATTCTTACTAACTTGACTTCCTTCACTAACTTGACTTCCTTCACTAACTTGACTTTCTTCACTAACTTACTTCCTTCACTAACTTGACTTCCTTCACTAACTTGACTTCCTTCACTAACTTGACTTTCTTCACTAACTTACTTCCTTCACTAACTTGACTTCCTTCACTAACTTGACCTCCTTCACTAACTTTGGTTCCTTCACTAACTTGACCTCCTTCAATAACTTACTTCCTTCACTAACTTGACTTCCTTCACTAACTTGACTTCCTTCACTAACTTGACTTTCTTCACTTACTTCCTTCACTAACTTGACTTCCTTCACTAACTTGACTTCCTTCACTAACTTGACTTTCTTCACTAACTTACTTCCTTCACTAACTTGACTTCCTTCACTAACTTGACTTCCTTCACTAACTTGACTTCCTTCACTAACTTGACTTCCTTCACTAACTTGACTTCCTTCACTAACTTTGGTTCCTTCACTAACTTTGGTTCCTTCACTAACTTTGATTACTTCACTAACTTGACTTTCTTCACTTACTTCCTTCACTAACTTGACTTCCTTCACTAACTTGACTTCCTTCACTAACTTGACTTCCTTCACTAACTTGACTTCCTTCACTAACTTCCTTCACTAACTTGACTTCCTTCACTAACTTGACTTCCTTCACTAACTTGACTTCCTTCACTAACTTACTTCCTTCATTAACTTACTTCCTTCACTAACTTGACTTCCTTCACTTACTTCCTTCACTAACTTGACTTCCTTCACTAAATTTACTTCCTTCACTAACTTGACTTCCTTCACTTACTTCCTTCA